TAATCTAATGAAAATGTTTCCACAGATTAAGTAGCACTGGAGAAAAAGCAAGCTTTCACCCCACACAAATCAAAATTCAGGAGGAAATTCAGAGTTCAAAATGAAGAGATATTTTACTGCCAATAGGGGAAAAAAAGTCTTAACAAATCAGCCAGCTGTTGCACTAACAACATCAAATAAAGAAATTGTGGAGCTTTATCAATAATGCATGGCTGCGCACAGACAATTTATAGCTGTTTTCCATCACTGGGTATTGTGTAGTACTAAATTAAGTCTACAAAATTCAAGGACAGTCCACCCACACAGCTACTGTAAGCCAGCCAGGCCACTTTGAATAAACATTTTAAAGGCATAAAGTGAGTTTTATTAGCATGCTGAGCCATAGTTCCTTGTGGACAAAGCAGCTCCTTTGAAAAAGTAAAAGTACATTTACCAGAAGGAGAGATGAGTTACTCTTTTGCCCTTACATGTAGAGAAATAGCAAAAATGGAAAAATATTATTATATACATGCAACAACTCAAACCCCTAAATTTATTAAGATTAAAACATGAAGGAAGAGAATTTATTTGCTATACTAGAAATTGATTGTCAGTCTCAGAAAATCCTGAGAGGTGCTGAACTGGTCTGGTTCTGCCAGCAAAAGACCTAAAACCAAAAGAGCTAAAAGGTGGATTTGACAGGTTTTGTTTACATTTAGGTAGGTCCAAAGATTAATAGACTTATATTTTTAAACTTTAAGCTTTCACAAGTCATAAATCAGAAAAGCACACATGAGGCTTTCATCTAAAGAGCTAGTTATTGTACTGAAATCACCTCAGCAACATTCATGGCACCAGTAAACAAGCGAAGGTTGGCGACCCTCCACAGGCCAAATTAACCAAGAGACAGTATGCCACAGGTGGTTTGCTTTCATTTAGCCCATCTCTTCCTACCACAGCAGTCCCAGCACTTGAATGCCTTAAACACAAGAAAGCATCAAGGAACTTGGAGCTCACGAGCTGGCCACCAGCAGCAAAAGGATGCAGATGCCAGGTCTGCATATCCAACAGTTTTATCCAGGCTCTGCTCTGGCAGTAGCCAAGGTGCCAGCTGGGTCCTCCACCTGGGCCCTCTCCAGCTTGGTTTCAGGTGTAACCAGCCACAACATGGATGGCAGCACCACCAGGAAGTGGGTTTGGGTCATGCTGCAGGCTGCTACTGCTTTTACAGTTTCTTTTACAGTCACACTGCCCAGCTTCCCTCTAAAAAATAGTATTGGCAAATGATGATGTTTGTGACAACCTTTTCATAACCAGACCATCACTCCAGGTGGGACACTCCAGGTCCCTCTGGTAACTGGCATGACAGGATGACGTCCCTGCCTAGAAAAACTACTTTTGTACCACGTGGGAAGGTGGAGAAAGTAGCACAGCATGGCTGGGCAGCTTGATGGCTTTGTGGCATACTTAAGCACAACCACATCTAAGAGAAGAAAGGATGCAAGAAATGGGACTTAAGCCACATCTGTTGTAAATTGATCAAGTGGAAATATCTGGCCAAATAAAAAAAAAAAGTGACTGCATTTATTGTGCAGGTGTGGAGAGAAAAAAACAACCCTGACCATTGGTACATGGATTTGCAGGCACCTTAATTTTCTAGATGCTACCATATAGCAAAGTTTAACTTCACTTACAATAGACATGCTTTCTTAAAAATCAGATCCCCCTTGGCAGGTGCAAATATCTATGGACCTTTGAAGCCAACCAATCAGGGTGTAAAACTGATTTATCTGCTCCAGTGAGCCCAGAAAATTCAGAAAGTGCAGAGACAGACTTGACTAAACCTTCTCACTACATGTGCCAGGGCAACCAAATCCTAGCCTTTGGTGAAGCTGCTTCACCTCTGTGAAAGCAGAATCTGTCTGCTCTGTCCTTACAGGCAGAAACTATCCCAGACAACACTGTACTGAGATCTAGTCATGTTTTTTATGAAATCTTTTAGATTTTTAAGATAAGCAAAAGTCCAAAAAAACTACACTTAGGGCTTAGCTAAGGAAATAAGCTGCTGGGTATTTGTATTTTAACCTACCAGAAGTGCAAAGTTTTCTTCAGAAGGTTGGTTGGATTTTTATTTTTTTTTTTCCATTTAGTACGTTAAGTGAAACCTTCGGCTAAATCAAGGCTACAGGACACAGCTTTGAGAAACCCCAGACAATCCCACTGAAGCAACCTTGGCTTTATAAAATGGAAATTAATTATAATAAGTCTGTTGCTTATCTCACATTGCCAAAGTCTGTGTTCCAATTAGAAGCACACTGTTTTAATGACTTGCACAGGGATCACATTTAGTGAAGTGCAGAGACACACAAAACACTCTCAGGCCCTCCCCATGGAGAGTACTGTTCCAGTGGGATGCTGGCTTCATAACTCACAGGCAATAAGCACTGAGGTGGTCACATTAGTATTTCAAAGTATCTCTACAAATGCAAAATGGAATGCTTTGAGCACAATGGAATGTTACTGGGTTGCATGTAATCATGGGCACAGATAATCTTCAAACATTATTTTACAATGAGAAATTGAGCTCACTTCTCCAAATACTTGCTAAATTAGTAGTGCTAGTGTATTGAGGTTTAATTTGTAGTACCTTCTACAGTGATGGCTATTGCCATTAATGCCTGTATTTTCCTCTCCTAACACCAAGTTACAGCCCAGTGCTACTCAAATGTAGAGAGTTTGCTATGCCACTCAGTGTAAGGCCATGCAAAGAAAATATGTATGTATATAGTTTGAGGGGGACTTAAATTTAGAGAATTTGAAAAGCCCATCTCTTCCTCCCACCCTCTCTGTACCCACAGCCTTATGATGAGAGCTGACACAGGAGCTACCTTGACTGTCCACTTCTTAGCAACTGTACATGGTGCTCCTGTGCTTTCTGAAGGGCTGTGCAGCAGCCAGCAATCATCACTACTTTGGTTCCTCAACAGCAGATACAAGTCCATTCAGGGTTTTCTGGCCTTTCTGCAATCACAATTTTCTTCTCTGTCTGCATGTGTTTCCTTACCACCTACCCTCCTCTCCTCCCACCCCTGTACTTGCATGGCCACCCATGCATGCCACCAGACATCCAGGCTGTGACTGCACTAGTTTACTGGCATCTGCTACAGTACACTGGGCAGCCAGGTCTAGGGAACTGCAGGGGCAACCTGAGAGTCCCTCTAAATATATCCACACTTCCTCTGCTTAGAAGCCCATGCTTGGCTGAGGGTTCACACTTCTACAGCCAGGACATGGCTGTGGCACACAGCCACAAACCTAGTTGCAGTGATAATGTTTCCTTATTTAGCCTTTTCTAAGCACTACTTTTTCCTGCCAGCTACAGCCCTACCTTGGCACCCAGAAGCATTCATGGCTGGTTTCCCCCAACTCCTGTACAAAGCACTTCTTTGCCACCAGAAAAAACAAAATTCACCTACAAATGCTCTTCCCAGTGAAAAGAAGGAGCTCTAGAAGAGCAAAAGCCCTGGTACAGCCAAGCAAATAACAGCATCCTGCAGAAAGGAACAGACAGAACTCTACAAGCAAGAGCCCAAGGGCTGATCTGAAACATGCTGGCATGAGGTCTGCACTGGAAGTGCAGGCAGGCTTCCCCGTCACCATGGCTTGCCACAGGTGCATTGCAGCACCCTCTGCTCCCTCTCTGAACTGAGTTTTGCGCAAGAGAACCAAATGGAGAAACACTGGAATTTGGATACATGCACGTACACACACGCACACACCCCACCTAAATCACAAGTTTGGAGAGTAACGAAGAAGGGCAGGAGAAGATCTGCTCTTCACACTTACTGCGTTTCACAGTTTGGGAAAAACAACTGGTGCCCCATCATCTTTGGATCACTAGATTCAGTAGAACTTTACCTGTCCCAACAGCTGTCAGCAATTCAAGGCCACACCTGTAAGCACAAAATTTACTCCACGCTCAAAAGCCAAACAAGCTGTCCCCCACTGCTTCATTTCACTGATTAAAGCAGCAAAAGCAGCACAAAACAAGAGTTAATCTGCAGTGAGCTATCCTAAATAGTCAGCATGGCCAAGAGACTAAATCTTTGCTCTTCAAGATATGAGTTCAGTTTTAGGTGTGTCATCTCTCATCCGAACCTGAAGAACATTGCAGCGTACATAAGGTGGGCAGTGACAGTCACCAAAAGTAAATAAAAACAGGAGGGCAGTTGCCACTTCAAACAACACCTGTCAAACCTGAGGGAATCCAGGAGTCAGTAGCAAAGAGAGCCTTTACACGGCGATTACTCATCTGGATTTCTTTTATTACAGATTTAATTCAGGCCCTCCCTTTGGTGTTGCTCTTAACCTGATTTGTATCTTTGCACAGCAACAGCTCACCCAGTCCTTGGTCACTGAAATGACTTGACAGCAAGAGAAGACCATGGTGTGCACTGGGCATTGAACTAACATACTCTCCATTGGTCTAGTTTGTGGCTGGTCTACCGTGCTGCTAAGAAAAAAACGCAGCAGCAGCACTACAGTGCAGTGAACTATGAATCCAAAAGATGGGTACAAAATATGGGTAATTAAAGACAGCAGTAACTCTAGCCAAAGAAGAACTGTCACTTTTCTAGCTACAGTTGCTTTTAGCTTCTTACCTGAATTTTTCTTGGGGTGAAGAATTTCTCAGCCTGACATCCCATAGGAACTGATGACTATATCTTTTTACTACTAGAACATTATTAATGCACAGATGAAGGACTAAGACATTCTAATGGAGAGGTATACAAGTACTTAAGAGTGTAGAATTAGTGGTTTAAGAAAAGAAACCAAGTTCTTTCTTCATTGCATCAATTTTTTACCTTACTGAAGTCAGTCAATTCACTCATAACTAACAAATACTGATAGCTGGTTCCAGTCTAAAACTTCATGTACATACGGTTTATTACAGAGTAAGAGGTGGGAATGAGATGTCTGTCCCCCTCCCTCTGCTCCTAACAAAATAAGTCACATCTTACCTTAAAACACTGTAACAGAAGTGCCAGTCCTCTGATATTTAAAAGGGCCTAAAGGAAAACTAGAAATAATGCAGAAGATTCAGCTAGTTCAATGCTTCAGCATTTGACAGTATATTCAGGAACCTGAAAGTCATCCTACAAGAAGAGAAATGAAAAGCACCAATTAGTCACTGTACACGTTGGGCAATCTATCACATGCTTAAAACATGATGCCTGGTAGAGCCACACTGCTAAACAATAGTGAAATTGCCAACAATTGCTAAGGCTAAATAATTTTTTGCTTCCAAGGTGAAACACACAAACAGTATTTTGGTTAGAGCACCCTGGAAAGAAAGCACGGATCTGGCAATAGCGCTAGGTCGCTCTGCACTGCCTTCCCAATTTAAATCCTCTTTGTTCAAACAACAGTCCGTGTGAATGAACAGAAACAAAGCTCCAGGCATGTCAGGATACACCAGCCATGCCAGTTACAAAACCAAAACAGTAAGTGTTTAAGGAACAGTAACCTGGTACTAATGTGAACTGGGAAATGCAGCAGAAGCCCATGTGAGCTAAGTAGTAACACTACATAAGCCAGAATGTTGGTGTACATGGAAGACACATGGAAGTACATTATAGACTGCAGTAAAAAGAGAGACATCCTCAGACTGCTTTGTCTCCTTTCCCTGAATAGGCTTTTTAAAAAATTCTCATCTTGAAAGGACTCATATATAGTCTCAACCCTTACTGAGTCAAGGCAGTGCAACTGGAGCTAAATTCATGCCTTCACCACTACGGCACATAAACCAGCTCTTTTCCTCCACAGCAATTCAGCAAAAAATGTTCTGTCACTACAGTTTAGACACTTGTTTTTCAGTTCGAACTCACCTGGCACGTTTAATCCCCCTAATGAGCAACTTCCCAAAACCAGAAACACACAGAGACACATCATTCCTCGCACCAAGGCATCCTGCCTCACAACCATTCACAGGCACGGTCCAAGTCAGCCACACCCTGACACTGGGCTGATACTGAACAGCTTGCACAACAATGTTGCTAGGACATTTGACAGCTATGGAGGGGGTGGGATGGCAGAACAATTTATCTGTACCTAGCATGGTTACTCAAGAGTGTTTTGAAGATTATTTTCAGGGAAAAAGACACTTCTTATGATCCAGGTTTTAAATAAGTACTTCCCTAAAGCTCTGGTATGAAAATACACAGCAGTCGTTCCAGTCTGTAAAACTACAGAGGTGTGGATTTAATGGAGTACAAGGGAAGCATACCAGGTAAGAGTTAAAAGAGTTTTTATTAAAAATTAATTAACAAACACTGAAAGCATGTCACACACCAATGTCTCTTCATATATATATATATATATATATCTATCTATATATATATATATATCTCCATCCTAATATCCTATATTCTGATCCTACACTGTTTACAAATCCTCAAAGCAGCCTCTTAAGGGTTAATTGCCTTCATGAACTAAAATAACAAGAAGCGTTTTAAGGGAAACTACCATGGTCTGTCTGTGGTAGAAGGGGAGGTAGGATTAGGTGGAAAACCTTACACTCTGGAAAGATAAACCATCAATGTAACATCTGTTACAACACCAGAAATCCAAAGCCCCAAGTGCAGGTGAGCTTTAAAATAGTATTCAGTGCTCTCAAGTTACACAAAGGAAATGGGAGTCCACTTCTTGCCCTATCTAATGTATTTACTTACATTTTCAGCTATTCATGTAAAATATGAGCTTGTTTACACTGCATGTTAGCTATTTATGATACCCTAAAAATGTTTTTCTTACATTTCAATGGAGCGCATTCCAAGATGATTACAAGTATTTCCATTTACATAATATTAAAAACTGCAATGAATTAGGAAACTTGAGATGGCAGAAGACAAATTGTATCCTTGGAGCTATATATTCACAGATAATAGGAAGTACCACAATAATTTTATTTCTGTATAACCTCCTGCTCTATATTTCTGTATAAAGAGTTACAGCAGTTTCCTGTAAAAATTCTGAATATTTCAAGACTTCAGCCTTTATCTTCAAGTTGTTCAGCTGATAGTTACAAATCATGGACCACTGCTCAAGAACACAAAAAACCCGACTTTCAAACTCCTATCATACACAGCATGTAGTGCCCCTATGACATGGTGTCAAGATCGTTCAGGTATTTCTCATGGGTTAATTTTGCTTCAATAGATTTCTGCTTTGCACCTTGTCCCAAAGCTAGCATAAACTCTGTACCAGGCACTCTATGTAATTCAGCTGAATCAAGTGTTTATACCCACACCTGGTCCATATCAGTTTGAAAGCACAGTAACTGTGCAACAGTAAAGGCCAGGACTAGGACATGGCTTCAAGATGAGCTAGGGATAACTTTGTGCGAGGTACTCCTCTTTCTCAAAGAGGACTGAACAAAAATCAGAAATCCTTCACGAGCTAAGATTTAACACATACCTTACCATTTTCACATCAGATGGAAAGAATGCTTCAGCTTTTCTTTTACCCCCCCCCCCAAAAAAAAATAAAAATCACACCATACATTCATACACAATCACCTGACTCCTACACATCCAAGCCCAATCAAAACAAAACAGTATGCTGCACACCCATTTTTTCCCTTAAGGGGAGAACAAACCACACCTAACAGGCATTAAGAAAAACACCAAACGTTAAAAAATATTATGATATAATGGGGATCACAAATATATATATATATATATAAAAGAATAACATAAGCAAAATGTTAATCTGTATGAAATAGATTTGTGTATCTCATATCAAAAAAATTATTGTTCTTCTGCCATTTGCCAGGCAAGTTAATCTAAATTAATTCCCAGGCAGAAAACTGACTCAGTGGTTAGCACAAAGTGCTAACTAAGCAGCAAAGAAAAGCAAAAATTAAAACAAACATAGTAAAACAGTTAAGCAGAAATATTAGCTATACAAAGGGAGCACATTTGCTGATAAAGTTGACATTTTTACAGGAAGCTTTAACCTTAATATTTTACATTTAAACAAAGCTTGCAATGCAACAGGTATTTCTTAAACTACCAAAGATAAGGTTTCATCTATTTTTTGTGGAAAGTCTAAGCACTTCACAGCATACTCTAGCTTGGCAAGTTCTCCACATGTGGGTAACATACGTATTCCATCTTTTCCCCTTTCCTTCCCATTTTAATTTCCTCCAACACGCTCCTCCAACACGCTCCTCCAACACGCTCCTCCAACACGCTCCTCCAACACGCTCCTCCAACACGCTCCTCCAACATCCTCCAACACGCTCACCTCCCTCCAGCAGACAGCAGCCAGTTTCACTTATTTACAGAAGAATTTATGCCAGTCTGAAAAAACACCAGCCCCCTCATCTGCAAGGACATGCCTGGATAACTTACTGAGATACACCTCAGATGTTGCACCAAACACTTGAAAGTCAGTTAAAGATGCACTGCATAGCACCAGAAGGGTATTTACATTCTTGTTGGGAAGGACACATTATTTTAAATTAAATTTGAAGGTAACATTTCCAGTGGTAAAGATACTATTTCATAGTGTCATTCTAAATTTTTTGACAGAAAGCCTTTTAAGCAGTTAAAAGCAATATTCAATCTTGGTACACCTCACTAGCATAAGACACCGTAATTGCTGAAGGAAATAACTAAGTCTATGTCTGCATGGCAGAAAGCACCATGCTAATTAACCCTGCAGAGATACTAATTAATCTGGGCAGGGTGCCACAGTAACATGACTACTCTGCTGCTTCAGGGATCTCCCCATGCCAACCCATCATGACATTTGGTCATCTCCACCCCCACCCCCTGCAAGCCATCCCTTTCACATGAAAGAAGTCTTACACCAAAGATGAGCCCCCCCATGGAAGGATGCTTCCTCCCAGCAGCTGTCATACGGATCTTTTTTATTTAGGCCTGTGACCTACAGCAGACAATACTGAGATGTACATTGCACTAATACTTAATGAACAGTAAAAATCAACTGGTATTACTGAGGATCCTAGGCTGCTAGGAGGAGGAACGTGAGAGGGTGTATCCTTGGGCCCAGCAGAGAAGGTCCAGGACTGCACCCCAGAGAAGCTATGTGTAATGATAATGGTGATTGTCTGCCAATCACCTGCAGCAATTCAACCCACAACATTTTAATTTTTCAGCTGGTCTCAAAACAGATCAAATAGACTGTAGTGTTAGTGTAAATGTTCATGAATTAGTAGCAGATCAATGGTGTGGTTGTTAGCACATTCAAAAAAGTTAAATTTTGCCAAAGCAACTTTAATTTCACACTTCTGGTGATAAAACAAATCTTGGGCTAAAGCCAGAACACACTTATCTGCTGTACCTCATGCCACATCTTGGTACAGAGACCAGCTCTTCACATACTGCAAATGGACTTTGAGCTTCTTGTGACTTGTTGAAACACATGCCATAAAGAATAGTGTACTCAGCAGTAGCTAGACATGCCTGTCCCAGTAGTAACTGATTTTTGAGCTGTCAAAAAGTAGGAGGGAAGGAAAACATCTGACATACAATACAACCTGCAGCAGAACATAGTCTCATAACCTGTCCAACAACACAGGACGGAAAGATACAGAAGGGTCATTCACTGTGGCACAGACAAGCCAAAGCCAGGGAAAAGTGTTTTACTGCCAAGTACAACAGGCAGTCTCAAGAGTATGAACACCCCTGTGCAGACCCCTCTTCTGCCTCCCCACCAATCCACATCTAAAAATGAGGCATTTCCAAGACAGTCCTGTTCATATCTCTCAAGAAATGCAGACATTATGCAAAGCACAGCTCTATGAATTTATGTATGAGTTACTTTAGTGAGGGGGCTCACATTGCTGGTAAATGGGATACACCAGCTCAGCTAGAACCTGGCAGGTAAGGCTTACTTCTCACATTTCAGTCCTTTTGCACAGGCAGAGGTCACAGCGTGAGAAAGGGTGGCTTCACCTTGGTCCAGGGCTTGCACTACGGCCATCAGAAACCAGTAACTGGTTTCAACAAGTAGGCTGTTTCTTGTGACAAAAGCACAGGAACAATTCAGTCTAGTATAAGGTGTGCTGCACTGAGACAGGGAGAAACCACATCGAACAAGCAGCAGCAAAACCCTCCTTGAGCCTTTCATGCTCTCATGAGATTGGACAAGTACTCAAATAAGTCTGTCTGGTCCAGCACTGATGAATGCAAATCCTACACCACTGTAAAAATCATTATCATTAATTTAAGAGAAACTAAATTTCATTTGATAAGTAGGTGTTAAAGTAGCAGTTCTCACACTTAGACCCAAAGTAGGACAGCTCATGAAAAATGAAAAGGTGTCATAAAAGACTCATTTGCTACCTGATCGATTTCAAAAACAGTAAGACTTTTTCACAGGCATCTGATGCACACGTTAAATTTGAGACAGACTAATAAAAGGCTGTCTCCTTTAATTTAAATTTTTTTTTTTTTTTTTTACTCAAAGGCTGAGTGTGAATTGTACACAGTAAAAGTGACGATCTAGGTAAACATTTCAGTCTCCAACCAACACACACTGTCAACATTGTGACAAAACAGTAAAATCCAGCAAATTGTGGAGATGTGCTGAACCTTAACACCTTTAGCTGTCAAATCGGGTGAAACTGACTCACCACTCGCTGTACCCTCAGAGGCTAGATACTTGTCCCACTTGCTCTGCCAGTACCTTCCCTATACAAACTATGGAGTTCACCACTGACTTTGTGAATGGAGATCTTTGCTTGGCAGGACAAACAGTACCATGACACAAGCACCACTGCCAGGGAGATTTTCACCCAGCAGACAGCAATCTGAGCTTTAACCAGAAGTGGGCAAACTTCTGACAACAAACTGGACAAATATCCACTCTTAACAACTGAGGCTGCTATCACTGATAAGATTCACTGACAGTGTTAAAGCTCATCCAGTGCTTTCTTTCATCCCATCTGCATGCAAATCACTGCTTATGGACAGCTTCATCCATACATAGGACTCATGCCCAGAGAGTAAGAGGAAGTAGTCATTAGCACACCCAAGTTTTGTTTGTGGGGATTTTTTTCCCTTCTTTTTCACATGTCCCCTTCTGCAGGCAGATCTCATTCTTTGTTCTGTCCACAAAACTAAGTTACCAAAACTCAGCCTAGATTTAGTAACAATGTACTTCCTAGGGCTCTAAAGCAGATTGGGTTTTACAAAGCCAGTTTAGTTGAGATTTCAAGGTTAGCCAAGAACAGAAGGAGAAGGAGAAGGGGGTATCACTGCTGAAACACTGGTTTGAAGTGAGCTAAAAGTGGTTCAGGAAAGAAGGAAAACTAGAAGATTCAAAGCTACAGATCATCTTCATTTAACTTTTCACAATACACCAGTTATATCCTGAACTCCACCCTTTATCAAGTTATATCTTTTGCTTGTTCACATTACCGTATCATGAAACACCTCTGACAAGAAACAACACACCTGATCAATCCGTGCTTGCTTCCTTAAGAAGAGCAGAGATTAGGAGAGGGCATGAAAGTCGTTCTTTTGTCTTGCAAAGTGGAGAATGAAACTGAAAAGGACCATAAAATACTGTCTTGCTTGCCTAGTTCACAGGTCAGATAGCCTCTCACCTGCCTGTAGGACACAGGCACAGGGACACAGGCTGCTCCTGATGACACCCACCCGCTTACTCCTCTGGTCCTATCTAAGCTGGGCAAGCAGAGGAAGGGCAGGAAAGGGACCCGACAGCTTTTAAAAGGCAGAAGACACTTCAATAAGTAATCTTAACCTTCAAAATTAAGTTAAAGATACAGAGCAGATTGCCATTATCTCCAGAAACAGCAGCTCAGAAACACTAATAACCTTGGTGGACCTCAGAAATTCTTAATTGCTAGATTTCAAGTGACAAAAGCAGAACTCCATAAAAATTCTGTTTCTTCATGCTACTTCCCCATCCTCATGGAAAATGAAAACATTGCCTAGCTGTCAAGCACCACTGTATACTTTAATGGGTGTAACACAACTATAGCTAACAACAATGAAATAGGCAATTGATGTGCTCTAGAATCACGCCAAGAACCTGCATTTTAGGAAATCCATATCCCTCACCTATCCATCTCTGTGTCTAGCCCTGGAGGCTGAAGCTCCCCTTACAGGGGGACAGGCCACTTTCCAATACTTCCAGTTGGCAGAAAAAAAAGACAACAGGGCTCATGTCCTCCTCTGGCACCAAGACAAACCTTGGACCAGGTCATGTGGCTTTGTAGCTTGGGCTTTCCATATGCATAGTACATAGCTGCCTTTGGGATTTTCAGATCTTACCACCATCTCCCTAGTGATATTCCAGAGTTTATATTCCTAAGGGATGGGATTTTTGGAAGAGCTATTGGTAAACCAGCCTCCAAAATCCAGCACTGTTTGGGAATGACACTCAACACCCACCGCACACTCCTATAATAGCTCTGAGAAATTTCTGGTACTGAACCAAGACAAGAATAAACTTCTGTCATAAAAGCAATGAATTGATGAACCCCAAGCTGCACAGTGCTATTGTGTGGTACGGTCCTTGCTACAGCAGGCTATAAGGAGAGCGATCCTCGAATGTGTGAACATAATCACATATTGCTGAGGGCCACTGTCATGGCAATGCTGTTTCCCTTGTGCAAAAGGAAAAAAAAAAAAAAGAAATAACAGTTGTCTCATCAGACGTTCTGAATAAATAATTTGAACAGTAAAAGTTAAAAATAAAGTAATTCTGAATTTACCTTCTGTGAAGCAAACTGATCCAGACTAACTACTGTATGTTCTAACACCTTCAAGAGCACCATTTAAGACATGGCAATTTATTTTGGACAAGGGGTGGTAGACAAAACCGAAAATTTCCAGGGATTCAGTGGCCAGGAAAATTAAGCAAACAAGCATGTGGCCTCCAATGGAAAGGCCAGATCATTCTTCAGAGTCCCACCACTAGCTCTTAAGAGAAAAAGCTTTCCCCAATTTAATTTCAAGCCCTGTCACTCTTAAGAGAGTCTGTCCCTCAGAAACAAAGCAGAAAAGCAGTTGGTCCTAGCATAAGCAAGAAAGACTAGCAATGAGAGGACAAGCACAAGACATGTGATGCTGGTCAGGATGTTCTTGTGTTAGAATGGTTATAATGGCTAGCATATTCAGCAATGGCACAGATTAGAAACCGCAAAAGAAAGCACACAGAAATGGCAATATTCTTGTCCCTTCTGCCAAAAAATAAGCAGGGAGACTACTACAATAGTAGTACACACTCTCTCATACAGAAAATAGATATATATACACTGAACACAATTTTCAGGCTCCGTCTCACAGATATTAATGTTGTAATCTAACAACCTAATCTCTCAAACTAGACATGGGGAAAACACAAAAGTGAACGGTGTTATTTCAGGCATATGTTTCCCTTGAACAACCAAAAGAATAATACAAAAATTTCAAAAATCCCCTCTACACACAAAGTCCATAAAACATGAAGGTCATACAGCAAAGTAACCCCAGCCAATTCTGCCTGAAAAGTTGCAGGCTCTCCTTCACAAGTGCAGCCAGCAGAAGGCGGGGAGGGAGAGGACAGAGTGGAAAAGCAGGTGAAAAAGCCAGCACAAGCTTTGCAACACTGCTTGATCGTGTCAGTGTGAAGGCTCAGCCTGCTTGAAAGATCACCAACTTAACTGTCATCCTGCCATAGCTTCTGCCTAGCAGACTTTGATTTGTGCGGGACTATCCCGAGTTGTTGCAGCATTTTGCAAACAGTTTGTCCACCAGAAAGAGATACCGACAGAGGTAGTTCTCACACACACACACGCACGCACACGCACACACACGCACGCACACGCACACACACGCACACACACGCACACACACGCACACACACGCACACACACGCACACACAGAGGCATGCACACTTTCTAATACTTCCCCAACATTAAGTACTGCCATTCAAAAACAAATCACCACTTCAAGCCAAGTACTCTCCCATATAGTCAGATTTTAAACAGTCCATTAGATTGTAACACTGAAACCTACTCAGTGACACAAATCAGATCAAATTTCACTATTTCATGAAAAAGTGAAAAAAAAAACCAAAAAAAAAAAAACCAAAAAACCAGACTAAACTTACAGGGCTGTTAGTCCACCGCTTCTCTCTAGCACACCATACATCACTGAACTGTAGTGCCTGAAACGGTAACTTGACCTCTCTGGGAAGGTGGGCGGTATTATACAAGCTGAAACATTAGAAACATGCATAATTACGCTGGGTATTTGCCACACATTCTTTCATCCGTGAACCAATACGAATGGAAAAGTTACACTCACACTCCAGGCTTAGATTATGTCCAAACCAACAATTAGGAAGATATTTCATGTGGGCCTGAGAGAACTAAATTTTCACAGCAGGAGAAATTTTTGAATTTAAGCTGTGAATGTGTTACAAAGGTGAAATGACAGTGCTGCCAGCTCAAAGCCAAGACAACAGTGGGCTACACCAGGGATTTGCAGCCTTCTTCCCCATCACTGAGTTCACAGTGTAAATTTGATCTACTCCAACCCCATGTACCCATTCATGCAGCACTTCTAGGGATGCCTGCCAGAGCACCCGACACATTCCATCATTAATCATTTGCCCATTTCTGCACTGTGATGCCTCTCTTGCACACCTGTGAGGTGCCTGCCTGCTCCTCAGCACAACCACACACTTCTGTCAGACCACAGGCCTTTTTAGCAGAAGCAGTCCATCCATAGGGCTGGCTGGGATGAAAACAGCACTGGAATAACAAAAGGGGCAGGTGAACAAAGAGAAAAGACCATGCTTGCTCCTAGCTGCACAGACAACCATGGCTCACATCATGGTTGCTCATGGTTATGACAATATCCCCTTCACAGCAAGCATACAGAGTGCCCTTTGTATGTAACCTTCTATTCCCTTCAAGCAAAGCAGCATTCCCCATTTTGAGTTTTGGGTAGCAGAACCAGAAGACAATGAAATACTGCAAGCCAATATTCACAGCCACAGCTTAAAGTAGATGACATTTTCAGAACTTTTAAGTCTAGAAGACAACACAAAATGCAATTTTTTCTTAACAGAGAGAAAATGCAGTTCCCAAAGATAGAACTGTGCACACTTACCTAACTACAGTCCTCTCCTGTTATATCAAGCTCTCCTATTCCTCAAACTCAGAACATAGCCACACTCCTAACCAAATGAGATGCAGCAACATCTACGATTGCTGTGATGCCAGCTGCCCCTCAACTTATTTTGATACTATCATCCACATGTTGCTGTTGTGGGCAAGTAACTTGCCTATCCCCTTTCCATACTTAGAGTATTCTTGATTCAGCCATTTAATTTTTGCTGCTTGCCACAGAGAGATGTGGCATACATGGTATTTATTTCGGCTAACTCCCTACGCGCTAGGGGCAACACATGCATCTGGAACTCTGTTCCAGAAGAGACACATGAATAATTCCAGAATAATTCTTCTGTTTTGTAGTTCACACAGCCCAGCTTCCTCCACCTCTCCCCCTTCATTATATACCTCCAAAACCTTTGAAGATCATAGCAATGCATATATGAAAGTACCCCTCAATACATGTAAGTCAGATTTAGAAGTTTTCAAGATCTGTGTTTCCTCTTTATGCAGGATAACCATATATGTCAGGGAACATGAGTTGCCACATTAACCACACAGAAATAAAGTAAAAACTTAAGAGCAAATTTTTTTCCACATGTATCTTAAATCTTGTAGTTGATCTGCAGTCAACTAAAAGACAGAGCAACCCTCTTAAGCCTGACCTAAAGTATCTATTCAAAATGTTTGAGCTGCATGATGAAAGGGCCTTAAACAAAAGTGGTGTGCAATGAAAAGAGAAAAATTGATGTGCGTTCAGAACAAACTGCTACAGAGTGAAGACCTGAGTTTGCATCAAATCCAGGTTGGAATCGTTTAACTGCTACTATGTAAGAGCAGGAATTCCTCAAGTTGTTTTCACCATTTGCTTTTTCATTAAACACAAGAGAAGGGAAAAGTCAACACTATAGTTTTAATGTTCCAATTTAGAAGTGGTTTGATAACAACCTTTCCCAAGTCATTCTTCCAGGAAAGAGTTGTTGGAGCACAGAGCTAATTAGGGCTTGTCAATTAAGCTCATCCTGCTGCTTTGTTCAGAAAACCTAGACAAATAGCTTATCCATGGATAGACCTGGGGGCCTTTCACAAATATTTTGTATTCCACTGCAAGCTTAGGCACATTACATAAACATCTGGAGTACCTACTAGAAATGTGAACACCTCCCCCTCTGCCCTGCAGTGAGTGTCTTCATGATACTGTTTCATCAACAGTGACAGAAAGAAAACAGTATTATAGAAGGCGTCCATCAAAAAAAAAAAAGTTGTCATCTACAGCTTGTCTATACATACACAAGGTTTGGGGGGAAAAGGGAGGAGGGGAAATTCAGGTGCATAAACAAGTTCTCCAATTCTCCTTATCAGTGATTAAATTCTGAAAGAAAGAAAGTGCATTGTATCATTAGTAAGAAACTGTTTCAAGAAGAGTTGGAGACTAGACTGCTCCGGGGGAAACAGCAGTGAGAATCAGGTATGTTAGTCTTCTCCCTGGAGGTACAGTCCAGTTTGGAATTTCTCTTGGCATCCAAAACTTAAGACAATGCCAAGTCATCCTAGTGTACTCTTGACACAACCACAGACTAAGAGCACAGAGAAAACCAGACACTGTCTAAAACCTGGGCATCTACAAAAGCTCCCAGCTGTGTTGACCATGCCAGGGTCCATAATTAATCAACCAGCTGCTCACAATGCAGAAGATACTTTGATATCGCATTTCACAGCATAGCTGTATTGGAGTCAAAGAGCTACCTGTTGTGTGAGCCAAGCTATAAGGAGGGAAAGGCACACAGTTCTCTCTGCCTTCCCGAAAGTCCTAAATCAACTAGGTCAGCACCTTCAGCTTAGACTGCAAAGATGCCTGCAGAATTGCAGCTATGAAGCCTAACCACTGGGTAATTTTTAATGTATTTGTTTATTTTTCGAAGTTGTACCTTAATGTACATTTCAGCAACTGCATAATAGGTGCAGCTTAGTTACCTTAAAACACTCCCTTTACAAAACCAGGGAAACAAAGTCTTCCTCTTCACTGCCACTCCACAGGAGAGCACTGAAAGCTTCTGTCGAGACAAGGACAGTAGCAGACAACCAGTGACATAAACCATTGTTCACTTTTTGTTGCACTGAGTAATAATCACGATTTAAAAATACACAAAATCCATGCATTTGTTAAACATGAAAGAAATTGTCCTCAAGAGCTGGATGCTCTGAGATCACATTTCAAAGCAATGCAGTATCATTCTGTTAATCTTCTGGGAAAACCAGCATGGATATTCTGCTTTAGTGTGATTAAGGCAGGAATTCCAGCCTCTCCATTGTGACCTTCCACAGAAACCTCAGGGGTCAAGAGTAACAGCTTGTATGTGTTGTGCTGCAATGCTAATTTGTCTGTACTATCAACAAAAGCCGCCTTTAACAATAGGACCAACAAGTTTTGGAGGGGAAAGGGGAGATCGATACATACACTTTAAGACTGCCACGGAACAGCTTCTACACAACCTTAAGGAAAAAGTTGTTCTTCTACACGTAGTTGCAGAAATTTCATTTTTGCTATGCAGTTGGAAAAAAGTTTACAGATAAACTTCTATGTTTATTTTCAACAAACACCCATACCCTACAATAAATAAAAGACTGATTTCTTAGGGCAACGGTTAATGAACAAAATGAAGCTGAAAGGCTACTTTCTTGCTGTAACAGTGAAGTGCTAGGCAGAGAGAAGGAGGGTTTGGGGAAAAGACGTTGCTCAAGGGGACAAAACCCAACATCACAGTAAAATCTTGGTGAAACCCAGTGAGCACAAGCAAACCTGCAATGACAGTGCTAGTTCTTGCCTTTCATAGTGAAGCAGCTGTGCCCTCCTACCCCAGCACCTCTTGGCAGAGTGACAGACAGGGACTGCTACAGGGGAAGGGCACAACGTGGACAGGCAAGGAGGCAGCAGCAACTGCTCTGCAAAGGCCCTGGGCTCCACAAGAGCAGCCAACGAAAGTTTAAACTGAACCCCACTCAGTGCGCTTGGCATAAATAGTCTCAGTGTGGCCAGCATCAAGCCATGGAAAGTGACCATCAGATGAGTTACTTCTCATTCTTACCCCTGGCAATCTGAGAAGAATGAAAGAGGATACCAGTTAGCAAGAAGGCTGCTAATTAATTCCTCCTCACCCAGACACTGCAAAGCTTTAGCTGCAAAGCACCTGCTTATCTAGGAACAGAAACTTGACAGCATTTTACAAAATAGGTTTGATTCATTCTGAAAAATGTCATTAAAGAGATACAAGATCAGTTTGTAACAGTTTCCGTATCAGCAGCGAGGAAAGGTGAAAGAAAAGCAGCATCATCATTCTTGCTACATTATTTTGTCTGGTTAATTTTCAGAGCATCAACTAACATTGCACAGCAATTCTGATGAGAGGTCAGCACACCACGGGCACAGATGCTTTCAAAAGCGTAACTTTACATGAGGAAGAGTGCTCGCATAATCTCTTCGGTGAAGAAGTTTCCCTAAAATAAACTCTCTCTGATTAAGTTGCAACAGGGTAGAAATATCTTGCTGTAGGGGCACAACCAGAGTGAAGATTGCAGGTGACATGCCAGTTTTAAGATACAGGCAGCTAAAGCACTTTAAAGCTAAGACAACAGAGTCCTGCTTTCTTAGGTACTCAGTTAACCTGGATCAAATGCTATCAAAAGTTCTTTGGAAATAGCACTAAGACAAGAGATAAGTCAGACAGAAGGAATAATGGAAAAACACCAATAGACCCAACAAAGAGATTTCAGAATACTTTAACAGTGAGGATCTCAAGCTTTCTGTGGCCAGCAATAGTTTGGTTTGCTTGGTAAGGCTGCTCTGTTAGCACTATCACAATACGAGCGAGAGAAGTCCCAACAGCAAGAGTTAAAACTCCTAGCTGTCAGTAGGCAGTTAGAGCCATAAATCAAGTATTAACTGAACCCATAGCTCAGCTGCAGCCTTTGAGTGCCAAAGGGACATCACAATCATTAAAACTTTGAAGAACAAATCCACCTGCAAACAGACTCAGTAATCCAAACAACTTTCATCC